TAAATGCTTCAACAACAACCATAGAATATAAACCTGAAAATGCGATAGTTGTTTTCGATATTCCTCCTTTAAACATCAAATGACTTAAATCATACGAGGCTAATAATCTTATATATAATCCAGTGATGATGAATTCATATATAAACATTGGTTTATGAATGCCCATCTTTAATTTTTTATGACTTTTTTCCATCCGAGAAATTTATTATATTATTTACTGTCAAAATAATAAATGTTAAAATTATAATTAGCAAATCGATAAATTTCAGATTTAATATCAAACACTATCACCGTGCGATATGGGGTAACTTATTTCAAACGATTATATTAGTATCAATCTTATTTCTGATAGATAATACTGAGCTTATACTTTTAATTGAGCAATATCTAAGGAATGCTACTTTTGGCTTGATTGCATACAGCATAAACTATTGTTATATATAGTAGTATTTACCGTATAAAAAAAAAGTATAAAATATATATTAACTTCTGATTTTAATAGTTTGGATAATATATATTATAAAAATTAGTAAGTTATAACATTTATAATATTTTAAAATATATTCAGTCAGTGTTTTAAAAAAAAAAAGGATATCAGATCCTATTAAGATAACTTTTAATATATTGATCTTAATTGTATCTTATGATGTATTAACTTTTATATAAATCTTCTTTTAAAAAAAGATTATTATACATTTATTAAAAATTAACTTAATGTAAAGTAATATAAAATTTTATTATTATTATTAGATTTTTTAAATATAAAATTTTATATATAAATTTATATAAAATCATATAAAATCATATAAGTTTAAAGATTATACTTAAAATTATTCTTTGTAAATTTTATTTAATATAAGTTTTATATATATAAATTTTGCATAATCTTATATAGGTTTACTTAATTAATATAAGTTATATATAAAATTTTACTTAAAATTTTAGAAATATTTATATTAACTATTTTTAATAATTAAATTATTTTTAATAATTATTAAATTATTTTTATATAAAAATAATTTGTTTAATA